AAGAGCAGTGAGTAGATAAATGATACATATGCTACCTCAGGTTCAGTGGGGCTTTAGCCTGGCACCATGCTGGTAGCCTTGCTACTTTCTACTGCAGTGCCCTACGAGTCAGACATGTGGCAAAATGCACCAAAATCTCTCCTTTAGCTTAGTCCAGTCCCATGCTTTCTTCCATAAGCTTTTTGGTTTCCTGGTCCTTATAAATTCCTCTTCCTCAGATAGGAAGAAAGAAGGCACTAGAATGATGATGCAGGAGAAGTTACAGAACAGGATCTGTGCAAAGCAGAATGAGTCACAAGGCAACCCTGGCAAACTGAGAAGGAGCCGAAGGCCAGGATACACTGGACCTCAGATAGTCCCATGGGCACTTTTCCTGAAGCCCAGGCAAACTTCTCCATCACCACATCACCACTGAGAACACCACATTGGCTTTCTGACAATTTGAACCTGTTGGTGATTTTCTGGGGTTTTTTTTTTTTTGGAGAACACTGTTAAAATCAATGCAAGTCCATCTACATTAATCAAATAATTGTTTTACTTTCTAAACTTGAAGATATACACTGACAGTGCAGAACTTGGAAGAAGTAACAAATACAAGAAGAGGTTATATACATGTACTGCAATAGTTTACTGGGAGACACAAACCCCACTGCACCCAGTTACAGCCAGCTGACTCTTCAATCAGATGATCAGCTGCTTTCTTGAGATCTTAATTGTCCTGGTGATTATTTATTTCTTCAGTCTAGCAACAGGTTTCAATTTAAAACACGAAACCCCACTAGGAATAAATCTATCATTCTCCTATGGACTGTGCTCACTGACACTCTGCATAATGTATTCCTCTAGAACCACCAGGAAATCATCAGCTTTTGATAAAATTTTTGAATTAGTGACAGTAGGAATTGCTACAGTGCATTTCTGGAGGGATGACTACTCTGTCAGCAAACTACCCAGGACACCATCTGAAGTCTACCCCTGAAACTGCTGAGTGCTCCTGAATCATTCACAAAATAATTTTCTGAAAGCAGAAAACCCCTTTGATAAAACCAGCATGTTAACACGCACTCATGTGTCTCATCACAGTCAGATCTGCTGAGATATGTAATTTACAGCTCACAAGACATCATGACTCCCTTTTTACTTTTATTACTGAAGTATGTCCTCAAAAGAGGCATTTGCCATCTTGGACTGTGTGGTTTCTGCCATACAGTTCCTATTAAAGCATAAAAGTAGGCATTTAAAAGTCAAATCTGGCATCTTACTCAAAGTAGATGGTCTAAAATTTTCAATATGGAGTGGTTCTAACCTGAAACAAACACAGTAACTACAGAGGAGCTTTTTATGACTTGGGAGAGGTAAATTAATGTATATATCAAATAAATATCTTACCTAATATGGAAGTTATATGCAACATTGAAATTAATTTTTCCACAAATACATAAAGGCTGCAGTTGTAACTTAATTTTCTGTAGCTAATCCACAGGTAGCATCTATATACATAGACAAAATATCTCGTAGAGTGAGTATTAAGGTAAGAGAAAGGAGATCTAAGTTACTTTTTTAGCTCTTCCATAAAGTTGGTAGATGGCCTTATGTTCCCTTCTTGGGGGGTGGGGGTAGGCTTTTTCCTCTTCCTCTTTGTTTTGTATTGCTTCTTTCCTTAATTTTTAATTTCCAGGAATCTATTCAGAAGTCACTAATTCAGAGTATGGAGTGTCAAGGAATGTTTATGCACTAAACGTTATTAGCAGTTAAACCATCAATCTGTCAATGTCAAAATACATCAGTTCAAATGTTTCAGAGTCTGTCTCCGATTTTAAGCTTATCTAGTCTGAGAACAGAAAACACATCAAACCATGTCTTTTCAAATTCAGCAAGAGTGGTGGGATCAGGAAGTCACCTAGCCTGACCTCTGGCTCAAAGCAGCAGAATTCCCCTACTCTCAGGATTTAGCACCACTGCATTCCTAGCCTGAAAAAGCAGCACCTCTGGAGCACATTGAGAACAGGATGATCCCATGGAGTTAAAAGAGAAATATAAGGAGATAAGAAACATTTTACCCCAAATTTAGTTATAATACAATAGGACTTCTACTCTCACAAAGAAGGGTCACCAGCGTTTATTTTGCTTTGCTTATCTGAAAGAGGGCACCTCAGCTTGGATCTCAGACTGCTACTGATCTCACATGCTAATGGAAGCGAACACCTTCCACTGAATGGTCAGAAACTCAGTGTATGGGTTCACCCAGTACCCACTAATCCAATTTTCCATTATATATTATGTTTCTTAATTGAACATAACTTGCTTAACTGCTCACTAGCTGCAGTAGTACCAGCAAAGCACTTTACCAGCAAAACTTCAATCAAAGCAGAAGAACCATGTTGCACTGCAGGTCTGTATGGTTTCTGTTACTTCGGTGATTTTTTTCAGGAAATGTATTTAGGACACCTCCACCTACTCTCACCACCAGCAAAGATAAGAAACAAAATACAGCAGGATTTTCAAACTGCATGGACCTCACAGCCCATTCAAAAGTTTCCTCATCGATTTCTGATTCAACGTTCATTAGGACACACTGAGAACTGAACATTCATTAGATTTCAGTGAGGCTTGTGAGTGCAGCTGGAATGTGCTGGGACACGTTTAGCTTTAAATGGCTTCATTGCAGTACCCTTCTGAATGAAAGCCACTAAGCCATCACAAATTACATGAAAATTCTTATGAAAATGACGTGGTTCTTATGCTTTAAGATTTACAGCAGCCCTTGACCTACTGCAGAGCACAGCAATAACTGCAGAATCTTGCAAAACAACACATAATATTTTTACTTGCTTAGCTAAGGGTAAGTTAAGAGTAACTTGGCACATCGAAGTGAAGGCTTTCTTAGCCTTTGTTCTCCTTCAGTTTCACGTGGCCAGACACAAATATGAGCTGTCATCACAAACAAAGCAAGAGAGTCATTCCTCACAACCAAGTGGCTGTGGAAAAACTGGATCATATTTTCAGAACTGCCATTTATTAAGGCAACTCCTAGAAATTACTGTGTTTTTTTGCTGATGGGGAAAAGCTAATAAAGAAGATGTAATTTCAAAGCCGAACCATTAGGGGAAAGTTGTTCTTGTTCACTCAAGTGCCACTGGAATCATACATGAAAAATGAGAGGGCATAAATACAAAGCCACCTGCTTACAAAGAAATCTCCATTCACGTCGGAAGCTCCCATGACTCCCTCTTGAGCGTTAAGTGCTGCTTCCCATGGCTGATTCACCCCACGGCCGCGCATACAGCTGCTGTGCTGGGTTGTCAATGGAGCTGTACGGGCAGCAAAAGCTCCTGCAATGCTTTCTCTCTGAACCCCTCAGCCCACCCTTTGAAATCCTTGCCTTTGTAGAAGACTGTTCAGTTCATAGATGATGGGGTGCAGTTAGCAAAATAGCTTGATATTAGCATAAATCAAAGAACTGTCAATATTAACTATTTACAATCAAATATCAAAATATTATGAACAAGTACCAAACACCAGCAAAGTATTTCCTTTTCATTAACAGCCCTATTTGGTAACAAGAGTCATATCCAGAAAACTTTCATCCGTGGAAAGCCGTGACAACCTTTATGCTGACACACCGCTCAGAGGAACCGTGATGGCTGGACTCACGTTTAATAGAAACCGTTCTGTGGCACTTGGTTGGCCAGAACACAGTCTGCATTCATGCAGAATTCCAGCAAAGTATTTCCTTTTCATTAACAGCCCTATTTGGTAACAAGAGTCATATCCAGAAAACTTTCATCCGTGGAAAGCCGTGACAACCTTTATGCTGACACACCGCTCAGAGGAACCGTGATGGCTGGACTCACGTTTAATAGAAACCGTTCTGTGGCACTTGGTTGGCCAGAACACAGTCTGCATTCATGCAGAATTGCCAGCCTCCCGTCTTAAAAAGTCATGAGCCAAGCCCCTAGATTACGGATATTCAGCTAAAAAAATATTCCGTTTGTAATAACATCTCAAAGCTGGCAATATTATGAATGACAGAATAAAAAGGCTGTCCATAACAATGGCTGTATTTACACCAGAATTTCAGGCTAAGGCAGCTGCACCAAACCCCCAGCATAAGCAAACCCTGAATTTTGTGCAATTCTCTGACTTCAATTATTGAGGATAATTCCTATGGCTGAATCTGCCTGATGATGTCTTACCCTGTAGATTAAGGTGATATACCATGCCTGTTGGTGGCAAAGCCTCAAGCTGGTTTTAAAACCAAACAAGCCACAAGAATCTTATTCAGAGCGCTCCGCATGCACGTTCTGCGCAGCCCAGGGAGGGAGCGACACTCACGCCAAGCACGGGTGAGCCCTGTGTACACAGACCTACCATTTGTGTAGCCTAAGCAGGAGAGGGACAAGAAGCCTCGCTCGGCTGCACTGGCCCATGCAGGGTCTGCCTCAAAATCCATAATCAAAATGTTTACTGTAAGGCACTGTGTAGGAGTGTAACCACATATGACTAAAGCAGATTAGTATGTCTGTGGCAAGAAAATAGGCTAAAAAATAATAAAAATACTTAGGAAAATAATCTTCAGGAATTATTTTTTTTATTTAAAATATGTGGGACACTTCACCTTCAAGATTAAGTCAGATTTTGCATTTTGCGGCTCTCTGGCTCAACTAAATACTTTCATATATGCAAATGAGGAGAAAACGTGGCCTCTCTCAGCAGTAATAAGTATCTGCCTGTTGCTACCTTAAAATCACAGCAATCACATCTGGTAACTGCCCTTTTCTCATGTTTCCACTAGTTTTCAGACTTCCTCTTGTGGTAGCTTGAGACTGCGCATCTGGATGTTTTAAACATACAAAGGAATTGCTAGAGCAAGCAAAAGAGAAAACGGTGCAGAGAGTTAAGATGTGCAGATAAGCAACTGGTGCACTGTGCAGCTAAAGTAACGGACAGGCAGTCAGGGAAAATCTTTTTCCAAAGAGGAGAGCACAAGTTTAGGCAGAATGAAGACTCACATTGTCTGTGGCTTCATTTTTAAAGTACTATTAATGCAATTATATATTTTTAACAAAACTTTAGCTGCACCGTCACCAATCATTAAGTTTCCTGGAGACAGCACTCCCAAAACAGACAAAGAACTAGCAGTGGTAAGTGTTGGTTTCATCTTTGCTTCAGATTTATATTGTTGTTTCATAAGCAGATGTTTCTTTCTTGTTTCAGCTGAGGCTAAGGAATGACTGTAGCGTTCTCTCCCTAGAGTCTCTGGAAGCGCTAGCTAGCTAGCAAAGGTATCAGCTTTCAAAAGTTAAAACCAGAGCCAAGTAATGTTTCCTCTCTTAAAATTTTTAAAGCCAGCAAAGAAAGTTGGTTTTTTTTTCCTTAGGTCTGAACATTCAAAATAATTTCATTAAATCATTGTGAATGTAATCAAAAGATTGCAATGGTAAGAGGGGAGAAGGGCAAATGAGAGACATCTGATTTTTTTTTTACTTAAACCAAGTAGAAGTGAGGGCTGTCGAGACTCACTTAATGCATGTATCACAGCATTCAGATGTTTGTTTTCCAGATTCTTTACCGTGTGTTGCATAAACACAGCTTTAAGGGACAATTACATCGAAAGCTGGTTCGAATTTCAGAAGCCATTGTGACTAGTTTTGACTTTGAAAAAAAATCTCAGAGGTTTAAAGAAATATTTTTTTCCAAATTCAATCTGGAACAAAAAAAAGGGGATTGGATTTCTGTGGCATTAGCAAATTATAGCTATAACTCTACAGCATTTTATTCTAACCTTTTTTAGCTCTGTGGACCTTCATAAAAATGACATTATGGGAAAGTCCATTTAAGGGAAGATTGAGATGGATTATCCTTATTTTAGCATGTAAATTATAGACATTTCTCTTCTTCAGCAGTAAGTCCATTTTAAGGAAGATTGAGATAAATTATCCTTATTTTAGGACATAGAGATTTGAAAGTTGGTCACTTTTCTTTAGGAGTTGCTGTGCATCTTGGCAATGCTTGCCAGGTTAAAGAAGGTCTGGGGGAGAGTTGAGAGAGAAATTCCAGATGTGAGCTGTGGTGGAAAGTTTAGGAAAAACAGACAAACTGACCCCAAAAGGGCACTCCTCAGCCTTTAACAAAACAAATTCACGCAAGGTTTTGCCTTAGCAGCACAGCAGCCAGGGGATGGGGGGGGGCTGTGCATGTGGGAGAGGAGAGTGGGGTCTCACATGTCTAATAGCAACTTAACCACTCCTAAATAATCTATTTTCTTAGACACAGTCAGGCTTTTATTCAATAACAGCAATCCACATCTCCCCTCATCTGTTTCTTTTGAACAACCTATTTATTATGTGTGCTCAGAGGAAAATTACAAGCTGGTTTAACACTGCAGTTGTTCTTTGTCTTTTTTGTAGTATTCTTGGGTAATGCTAATTGGCTGCCTTTCCCTCACACCCTCCATCAGAACAGCCCCAACACTCAGCATCAAAACACAAATTGCTATGTTGCAGCTGGACCCTGTTTCATTAATGGGCTGGATCAAAATTCCAGATCACCACAGCTCCCTGCTGACTCTGGAGAAACTGAATTTCATAGCCTAGGCCAAGATGTGGTTTACACAGACACTACATTTTCTTCAAGATTCTCTTCTCCTAGAACAGCTGGTTATGTTCATTTCTCATCTTCAGTAAACTCTCCATTTTAGGAAAAACTGAGAGGGGTCAGCTTTTTATTTAGAATCCCAGCAAGTAAAATTGTTTACCATGCCTCATTTTATAGTTTTGGTAGTATACCTTACTCCTAAACATAAAATGGCAAGAGCAGCATCCCTGGGCTCAGTTCTAGGGCCAGTCTTGTTTAATATCTTTATCAATGACCTGGATGAGGGGATTGAGTGTGCCCTCAGCAAATTTGCAGACGACACCAAACTGGGTGGTAGTCTTGATCTGCTTGAGGGGAGGAGGGCTCTGCAGAGAGACCTGGACAGGCTGGATCGATGGGCCGAGGCCAACTGCATGAGGTTCAGCAAGGCCAAGTGCCGGGTCCTGCACTTTGGTCACAACAACCCCATGCAGCGCTACAGGCTTGGGGAAGAGTGGCTGGAAAGCTGCCTGGCGGAAAAGGACCTGGGGGTACTGGTTGACAGCCGGCTGAATATGAGCCAGCAGTGTGCCCAGGTGGCCAAGAAGGCCAATGGCATCCTGGCCTGTATCAGGAATAGTGTGACCAGTAGGACAAGGGAAGTCATCGTGCCCCTGTACTCGGTGCTGGTGAGGCCGCACCTCGAATACTGTGTTCAGTTTTGGGCCTCTCACTACAAGAAGGATGTTGCATTGCTGGAGCATGTCCAGAGGAGAGCCACAAAGCTGGTGAGGGGTCTGGAGCACAAGTCATACGAGGAACGGCTGAGGGAACTGGGGTTGTTTAGTCTGGAGAAGAGGAGGCTGAGGGGAGACCTGATCGCCCTCTACAGCTACCTGAAAGGAGGCTGTAGTGAGGTGGGGGTCAGCCTCTTCTCCCTGGTAACAGATGATAGGATGAGGGGGAATGGTTTGAAGCTGCGCCAGGGCAGGTTTAGGTTAGATATTAGGAAAAACTTCTTTACTGAAAGGGTTGTCAGGCTCTGGAATGGGCTGCCCAGGGAGGTGGTAGAGTCCCCATCCTTGGAGGTATTTAAAAGAAGGTTAGATGAGGTGCTTAGGGACATGGTTTAGTGGTCGGGTGGCAGGGTTAGGTTAAAGGTTGGACTCGATGATCTTAAAGGTCTTTTCCAACCAAAGCGATTCTATGATTCTATGATTCTATGCTTCTGCGGTAAACTTCAGTTCTGATGTATAGTCTGATGTATATTATATCATGGTATCTCATTGGGAGATGCAAACAGAAGCTTAAGGAAATGTATCAAACTACATTAAAATGAAAATTGGGATAAGAACAGATCCTCTAAAGTGGCCTGTTTGATAATGCATTGATGCATTTCACATAATTTCCACCAGGCCCCATTAACTATGAGTAGACAGAAGCCTAGTGGTAGGCAAAGGTGAAACCATTCTGTGTCCATTATTTGCCAGTGCCACAGTCTCCACTGGAGAAATGCCACATCAGAAGCCATAAAAATCACAAAAACTAGGCATAGTCTGTGCTTAGTCAGTAGGTGGATGGAGAGCCTTCTGAAGGAAATGGTGCAACATCTTGATTAAATCCTTTTTCTGAGTAAGCTCTAAACCATTTCCTATGCACGGTAGATGAGGTACGCCTGGGCTTAATGAGGTGGTGGTGAAATCCAGGCTTGACCAACTGCAGTCATCAAATATCCTTTTGCTGTATTTTGCTGATGTAGAAGTCTTATCCCCAGTCTCCTGGGTGAACTTCAAGTCAATTAACTAGATACAAAAAGTAAGGTTTCCCTCAGGAATACTTCCTGGCACAAGAACTTAAACATGCAGTCATTTTGTCAGGCTTCTTTCTCAGTTAGAAATAACCCACTCTGATATCTCAGATACATTTCTGGCAAATATACCTTTACCTTATTCAGGGTGTTTTCCTACCTTGGATTTGTAGATAGTATTTTGGATACAAGACCTGAAGGATGCTTCTTCCTCTGCTACAGACTGTAGCAACCTTCCTAACAGCATCATTGGCAAGGGCATCTCTAGCTCTGTGCCATGCTAAGCAGCAGTTTGGCTGGCCTACAAATCCCTTTGGGAACACCTGCCATTTGACATGGCTGTAGCTTTTCTTTTAGAGCTAGGCAAAAATATTGTAAACTCAGACTTGAGTGTGGAGTTCCTGAAATCCCTGTGCAAGAGAACCATAAGACTTACTTTACTGGATAAAGCCTACAATTCCAGATAGTTTAGTCAAGCTGGTTAGAACCTGTGGATGAAAATAATTATATAATGATAAGTTATTATCATTATAGAAGTACCCAAACTAACAACTTCACCATAATCCATTTATCTACTCCTCAGTGAGGATATAAATTCAACAATCTAAAGCTGTACGCAATCTAAACAGCATGACTGAGCTTATCTGTGCAACAGTCCAAGCTAAGGCAACAGCCTGAGCTACAGGTTTTCTGAACTTCAAACACCAAATCCAAAACCTCCAGCTAGCCAGCGGTCTGTTGTGTGCCTGTGTTTGCTAGTCTCCAGACAGGAACAGAGCTGATAAAGGATTTCATACAGTTGCTGAAGAGATAACCAAAAGTTTTCTCGTTTGCATCTTGTCACTTTTTCATTTGAATGACTTTGTTTTTATGGCAGGGTTCACCACGTGCTAGAGATTGACAGGCATTCTCTCAGGGTTGGTCCCTACCCCGAGAAGCTCACAGTTATTCTGCCAGTAAACATTGAATTTAAGGGAAAAAATAGTAAATACTAAATTGTTTGTGTGAGCTCACTTGTGTACTGTACAGAAGGTGGGGACCATGTGCTGACAGTCAGGGCCACAGCTGTTTACCTACAGTTTAGTTTAACATAAATACACAACAGTTATCAACACACATCCGAAATACACGGGTGCATAACTGGAACAATTGCCGGGGAACAGACTAACCCATTGCTCCTCTGGGATTAGAGGCAGCAGCAAACAACAGACAGACTTTATTTATTTATTTATTTATTTTAACTGCACTACACCTGATCAAAACAGAAAGTGGAAGAGACTTGGGTGGGTATTATTTTAGATAAGAGACAAAAATAATAGGATTTGTGCTGCCTTTTTGATCACTGTTTTCTAAGGAGAGATAATTTTGTGATCTGCCATCATGGTTGTATCAGAAAGACCAATCTGGCCATAATCTGCTGGAGTGTTCGATGGAGTTTTAAGTACGCAGATATTGATTGGCTGCAGCAGCCAGGCAACTGAGATGTTACCAACGACCTTCTTCGTCAGGTCTTTGCAATGTTTGACTCAAAAGCAAACACACACAACATTCAAGTAGTATGAATAAACGATGTTCTTTTTCTTTTCAATTAATGTGGTCTCATTTGTGTGGTTGCTTTGATACCTTGACAAGTTTCTTGATAATCCACAGAGTCCTCCAAGAAAAAAAAAATATACACAAAATCTAAAACTGTAAGCAGATTTATACATCATAAAGAAACCAAAAAGATAAACCCATTTTTACTTTGTAGTTCTACATTAAAGCTCTATGCTCTACTTACCAATAAAGTGATTCATTAAGTAAAGGTGATAGCTAATAGTGGAAATGATTGCTTAATTAGCAATGTTGTGTGATCAAGGATAGTTTGTGTCAATTAAGGAGATTCTGCTGGTCTCTCAGTTACTAATAATAGTAATTTTGAAAAGAAAACTTGCAAATTACAGATGGAAAGCTAACATGGAATTACAGTATTTATTTGTAATGATTAACTATTTCTTTTACGAATTTTAAAGTCTTTGTTCTGTGCTTTTTTCCCCAAGCAATACCTGAATAAATACTATGGGTGCCCAAAAGACAACTGCAATTTATTTGTCCTGAAAGATACTTTGAAGAAAATGCAGAAATTTTTTGGGCTGCCTGAAACAGGAGATTTGGATCAAAATACTATTGAGACAATGAAGAAACCCCGCTGTGGTAACCCAGATGTAGCCAATTACAACTTCTTCCCAAGAAAGCCAAAATGGGAAAAGAATCATATAACATACAGGTACTGACTGGTGATGTCGGGTTTTGCTCATGCATAGCCGTAGAGCTTTTGAGAACCAAGCAAACGAGACACTTAGAAGTGGAGTAGCTGCTTAGCGGGCTAGACACAATTTCTTGCATTAGAATCTGTTTGGGTAACTACCAGATGCTTTAGAAAACCCCTCTGAAATTTCAAACTGTAAAATTTCAGGAATAATCATCTAAAGATCAACTTTAAAGTTCTGATTGACACAAGAAGATATTTGGGGTTTATTCTTTGCTCTGCTGCAAGCATCCTAAGGGAACTGGAGCAGGAGTATCTCACCTGACCATCTGCTCAGCAGGGACCACAGTACTTATTGACTGCAGAGCTCATGTAGGAGGACAAACTCAATCAGCAGTCATAAAAATGGAGGTCATCAAATAGATTTTAAAAGAAAACAATCATATTTCAGATATATACAGACATGATTTAAAGCAAACTTACTGCAATAGGTTTAGCATGTTTTAATTTCTTACTCTTGCTCTGAAGAGTTAAGGACCAATATAGCTCTCACTGCAGTCATAAACAAAAAAAGAAAATCTCATTACCTTAGGTAGTCCAGGAACATACTTTTAGCACCAATGAGAACAAACAGTAGATTTGTCTTAGCTGTTGACTTGGTCTGCTGCTTCCTCACAAGTTATGACCCAAAGCATCCCTCATTCTGCAGCTAGCCTAATAAACGCTGAAAACACCGTAGCAGCGCGCAGTCCCCTCTCGCTGATGTGCTTCCTCTGATTCTTTCTCATTCCCCTTAGGCACAAAGTAGTGCCCCTTTCTCATCTCAAGCCTATGGCTCTGTCTTACATGCTTTTACCTCCTGTTTCCCCATGTATCCTATGGCCAGTGTAACTGACTCACTGGTAAAGGATTAGCATTCAACAGGGATGAAACAAAATACAGCCAACTACAAAGGTGAGGGAGAAGGGCTACTTTTCTGTTATTATTAAAGAGCAAAACAATCCACACTTGAAACTTTCAGAATGTTATTGAGTTCTTTTTATAGCAAATAAATCTAATACATCAAGCTGTGCTTGTATGTTCATGGCCAAAATGACAGCAGGACTTCCAAGCTAAGTAGTTTACAATAATGTAAATCTCAAATCTAATGGAGCAAAAGAACCTAAGGTGATGTCTGGCCAGCACCTCAGCACTGATGCAAACCCCTGAATATTTTGTGCAAGGCCCACTGCCATGCAGGCTTTACAGCATCTGGCTAAATAATTTTCTTCATGCTGCTGTATCAAGTCCTATGGAAAATAAATATTAAGTGCCACACCTAAACAAGTCTCTGTATCAAAGGAAAGTGTCTAGGTCTCACATAGAGCAGTGTTACCTCTTAACTGTTTTCACTACTGAGTCTACTCAGCATTTTGATCAGTAATCAACAAATACTGGGAGGCGGGTTTATGTTTGATTTAACTCTTCCTCTTACCTCTAAGGATTATAGGCTATACCCCGGATTTGGATCCTAAGACAGTAGAAGATGCCTTTGCTCGAGCCTTTCAAGTCTGGAGTGATGTCACACCGCTGAGATTTAACCGAATAAATGATGGAGAAGCAGATATTATGATTAATTTTGGACGATGGGGTATATTTTTCTATCTTTACATATGTTTTTGGTTTTGTTCCTTTCATTAATCCTTAGTATTGGAATGATCTACCCTCAATAAGTAGCACCCATGAGCCTTTCTGGCAAATCTTGTCCTAGTTTGCACTTGGCTAACGCTGACTAAGATCTAATTTCACTAAGATTTTTTCTTTCTTTCTTATACATATGAGAGAGAGAGAGAGAAGTATTTATACAATATCCTTATACGATATTTATCTTTCCAAAAGAGAATCGCTAGAGGCAACATTTTATTTTTATATTTACAAATCAGAAATAGAACTGGGAAATATTGGTACAGATCTTCAGATGATGTGAGCTGGCTTCCTGCCACAGAAGAGAATGGAATGCCATCATACTGTTTATTTATAGCTCTGTACTCAGTTTTCCAGTGATAGTGGTGGAGGTCCTAACATATCGGAGCTTAAAAATGGATGTGACTTTCAATTTTGACTCCATAGCTGGTCTCTGTTCTTTAGCGTAGCAGAATGCAAGCTTTCAATGCATTCTCTGGTCTTGAGGAATTTAAAAATATGGACCATAAGCTGAATTATGGTGTGAGTCCAGCTGATGATAGGTGACTTGATTAATTTTCGTTGAAAATGCCTTCTCAATTAATTTTGGTTTCCCCTGAAAGAATGTTTATAGCTTTTCAGTGTAAACCTGGGGCATTTTAACTTCTTACGGACAGTCACAGAATTTTTAATACTAATGAAGATACTTGTGCAGCCAATCACTTGGGAGGTAGACTTTGGAACTGAAGAGAACAGTTCAAAGAATAACTGAGCTCTTTGTAAAAGCCTCCATTTCAAGCTGGTTTGCTTTGCTTTAGCTACTGATGAGTTGACCTCAAAAGCTTCAAAGATTCTGTACAGAACTCAAAACTTCAGATCCTCATCCAGGCTGGCTTCATTCGCAAAAAAGAAGTCTTACAAAAGGAGAGGTGTTTCTGCTGGTTTTAGTACTTGCTGGTTATAGTCGGCTCAGAAACAGCAGGAGAAGAACTTCTGCATTCATTCATTCTTATCACTGTACTGCATGTCAGATTCACAGGAGCTGGGACATCCACAGGGTTTTTCATTTTTAAGCTTTCTCTTAAGGAAAGGATCTACTTTGAAATAAATGGGAGTAAAGCATCTAAAATATGTCAAAATCTTCTCCTTGACAACTGACAGACTGGTCTACTGAAATAAGTGAACTGAACTAGCATTAGGAGAGTAACACCAGCATGAAATCAGTGTAACAGAGTAGAGAATTGGGCCTGTGTATTTAGGGCTTCTGTTACATGGCAAAACATCAGACCAGAAGGGCTGAAATGATGCAACTGGAGATGCTGGCAGCCAGCTTTGATGCACAGGTCAGTGTGGTGGGAAAGCTATGAATACCAGGGTTATGCCCTTGCCAGCCTGCCTTACCCACATGTGGTATACTTCCAAGAAAAGCCTACAGTGTAATAACAGGAGAGCTACTTAACCTGCTGTTGCCCTGTGAGCTGCCTGAGTCTCGGGGTGGTTGATGTGGAGGAGGAATAGGCTCATTCACAGGTCTCAGAGCACTGAATAAGAGCTACCTTTCCAGAGGCTTGCTACCGAGACACTCAGCTGATTTGCTTTCCTGCTTAAAGTAGTATCCTGCAGAAAGAAAAGAGCACAGCAGTCTGAGGTGCAGCAGAAAAGAGTAGCCTGCGAAAAGAAATCTGCTCTTACTTTTCAGTCTCTGTGTTGGAGACTGATATTAATTATCTGAAAATACCGCTCACCTATAATGTTTATTTTACAGCTCCTACCAGTCTCCATTGAGAAACAGCAATCTGTATGCAGGCATACAACTAATGCACAATATTTCACTGTTCTTCACTGTCTTTGATGCCTTTCCACAATACTTATGAGATATAAAATAACATGCTGTGAAAACTGCAGTATTGATGCTTAATGTTCTTTGTAAGAACGGTCTGCTTCTCTTCTGGTTCAGTCTGGCCAGTACAACTCATACCGATAAACTCACTCACTAGAGTATTCTGCTGCTGTCTTGGATGGGAAAGTATACGAGATAATCATCATTCATACATAGACTTTGACAGAGTTGAGGTCATTAGAAACCACTCTTTTTTGTCCACTTCCTTCTGCAGAACACGGTGACGGCTATCCATTTGATGGCAAAGACGGTCTCCTGGCTCACGCCTTTGCACCAGGGCCAGGAATTGGAGGAGACTCCCATTTTGATGATGATGAACTGTGGACTCTTGGAGAGGGGCAAGGTACCAGACTTTTTAATGTTGCAGAACATATGGTCTGCTGGCTGCTATGTTTTAATGCTGTTTCAGGCACTGCACTAAATGTTTTCATTGACATGTCAATAAAAGTTAGGAGATGAAAATTAATTTATACAATTTAAATTGTTCTCTACAAAATGTTTATGTGACTCCTAAATAAATGTTACTTAGGATTTCCCTTTCTGTTCCTCTACCATTGCCCCTTCAAAAACTGAATTAATAATGGACCTGATGCTGCACAACCTTCCTGAATTGTGGGAAAAGTACAAAGCCATGACTATGATTTCTAATGCTTCAGTTCTCAGGGACTCAGACTACAACATCTTTAAGTTCATTTGTAAGAGGCAGACTGGCCAGTGCTTTTTCTGCTGTTATACCCTCGCTGAGGGGACTTAAGCTGTGGCTCCAGTTGTTTAAAAAGGAACCATCCACCTGAACAAGGATTTATATACTCATGATATCTGTCAAAAACAAATGGAATATAAATCCCTTATACTGATGACCGAAACAAAATCGACATCAGTGGATTAAGAACATCTCCAAGAACCTTTAATGGGCAGTTTGCCATACCCTTTAGAAGAAAAAAACTGAAGTCCAGAAAATATCACCTGAACTAGACAAACATGACCAAATATTAGTTGTTACAAATCTCTTCTTTTCTGTTTGAACTTTGCCACAATTATATAGTACTAATTCTCCTACTGTAAAATAATTTGGAAAACTTAGAATAAGAATGCAAACTCATGTTTGCCTTTCATTTCAAATTCTAGTTTCCTCAGCTGTTCTCCGATCGAAAAAAATAATTGAACTTTAATACCAAAATAGTCAACTTCCTTCTGTTTGGCTTTCTTTTAACTTAGCAGAAGCATTGACTGGTAGCTGTACTAACTGGACCGGATCCCTCCCTCAGACTAACAACGAACAGGAGGAAACTGTTTTCCGTATTAGTGGAAATACTGCACAAGCATCCAGTTAGTTACTGCCATTAAAAGAAATTCTATGGATAAGTGAATTATATACACATTAACGTATGTTGCAGCACCAATACCGTAGTCTTAGGACTACATGTGACAAAATGAAATAAACCCCACGATCTGGGTGTGTCTGCATTACCACCCTATCCCCCTATGCTGAACTGGAAATACCAAAGTGGTTTATGAGGCACAAGGCACGTTCAGCTCATGTTCTACTGCTGCCTGGAACCTTTCAGACTATACTGAACATTTTAGACCATATTACCAAAGAAACTAAATTAGTAAATGTATTAACAGCATGTTTATAAGTTTGCATTGCCATAGTAACAACAACATATATATTTTTCTGGTCTAAGGACTGTTCATTCTAACACTTCACCATGAGTAATATCCATGTAATTCTTTCAAAATTACCAGTTATTATTTCAGCTATGATCATCTTGCCAATAGAGAGACCAACAGCATATTGAATTTCAAAGTGGAAATTCAGACTGCTTTTCTATACCAATGTCCTCCAGGAAAAGATGTCCAGAAATTATTTATTTTTTTTTTATATATATATCAGTTGGTGGCTAATTTCACCACTGCATTTGTTCTCTTTATAGTGGTTAGAGTGAAGTATGGAAATGCAGAGGGTGAATACTGCAAATTTCCCTTCTGGTTCAATGGCAAAGAATACAACAGCTGCACAGATGCAGGACGCAGCGATGGATTCCTCTGGTGTTCCACAACCAAAGACTTTGATGCAGATGGCAAATATGGCTTTTGCCCCCACGAGTGTAAGTAGATCATTGTTTCTACTGGTTTTTTTTTCCTGGTAGACTGTTCACTACTTATTTTGCCCATCCAGTTCTCCTTGTACTTTTCCACTTCCTTTCTGGCAGATTGAGTTTTACTGCTCTTTAATATCTCCCCAGTATCTAAGCAGACAAAACCTCCCTAAAGGCTCCTTGGTGTAGGAGAGTTTGTAACTGATGATGACCCAGGCTGGGGCATTCCTCTAAAAACAAGGACATATTGAAGATACGTCTGAAGCAATGTCAGCCCCATATATACATCAAAGACACTACAGGTTCAGTTTCACGATCCAGGAAAGACAAGCACCTTTTCGAGTAGGTATAGGGTGAAATTTGGAGATGAAGCACACTAAATGACAGAAATCTCTCCCTGAATTGCAGGCCATTCCACTAACAACTGCAACGACATCTCCTTCAAGAGCAGTAACTGACAAAAACTAGCAGTTCAGGATGAAACGCATTAAGCCAAACCTCTATAACTTTGCATAGTAATTTTACCAATAGGTAGCCCAGGTCCTCTGAGCCTGGGAGCCCTTTCAGTGCAACATGACACTACTATTGTCACAAATCACCCTTTAGATTTCCTTATACTGCTTTTCAAAATAAAAAATGATTGAATTTCAGCTGAGTATCTGTACTGGTACAAAGTTATTTATATGTTGGTACATTGCAAATTGCTAGACAGGAGAGCCCTCACATTTTTAGAATTCAGGGTTCTATTTTTTATGCAGGTCTTAGGACTCTTATTCATGAAGGAGTTCCAACAGCTCCTTTTAGATACAGGAATGGCACTGTATTTCAGAAATCATAACTCTATCTGTACAAAACTCTTAGAAGGTCTAGGAAAGCTAAGATCACACTTAATTTCTAGCTTTTTGGAATGTGAACAGAATCCTCTGTTTCACAAGCAATTTATTTCATATTTGGAAACACTCATTTACAGATCAGACAATGTGTGTAGCCAGAACTTTTTAAAAATATACACAACACGATTATTATCTTTCAAATGAAATTACGAGAACATGTTTCCTATTAAACATTGGGAACACGTATTTATATGCTTGAAAATTTTGATGAGTCTACTGGAGTTAAGATTTCAGATGATTTATTATTATATGAGTGTTAATTTGATCTCCTGTATATCACACAGCAGGAAACCTTTAGAGCAGCAATTAAGTATAATTGGCTGTAGCCTACTGTGCTAATTTATCAGCAGTGAGAAGAGTAGAGAAGGTAAGGGGCTTTTAGCTGCTTGTTCCATCTCCTGTTTGCTAGCTCCAGTGCTGGCACCTATATTCACAGACACTCCCAGCACCGCAGTTGCCCACATTCACTTCTTTCTGTTTGTACATAACTGATTGCTATAAGCTTTCGGCAGTGGGGAGTGTTTCATCACTCTTGTTACCTTATGTCCTGAGCAATAGACCCACAGGGTCACTAAAAGTCCTTCCAGCTACTGCTGTGTCATAACAAACAATAGGAGAGTAATGAAAGAGAACAACACACAAAACAACGGAGCTTTTGTTGGATACATGCTAATCCTGCTTGGAATAACAGTACTAAAGTTATTTGTAATATTGGGGCTACATGCAGTCAGCACAAGAGAATGCAGATTGCTGAAAGAAAATTAGCAATGCTTAAGATGCAAAGCTAACAAAACAAGACATGTTCAGGGTTTTGCCAGACCAAGAACACACAAGAATAGCACGACATGTCCCAGGCAACCCTCAACAAATACTGTACAAACACATGTATGTGCATTAATATGTATGTGTCAGTTAAGTACACACAATTTTTCAAAAGACCATAGATATGTGTATGTAGAAAAAGTTCAGATAACCTGTCTTCAAAACTTCTCTAGTATCCTAAGATCCTAGTATCCTATTGTAGCCAAAGACTAAACGGATTCCTGCTTGACGAGTTTTGGGGATTTCTCAAGTTCATTTGCAAGACCACACAGTTCCCAATATAATATTTGTAATCTTACAAATTTTCTGCATCAGGATGCTAGTAGTTTGCAAAGAAAATCTGTTGTAGAACATATTAAACTTCTAGCCTGAATGTGATAAAAAATATTCTTTGATTTCCAAAACCCTAATTGCCCCTTATAGATCTCATCTAGAGCTGGGATCTACCATGGTGACAGCTATTTATACAACTATAGGGGATGAACAAGCAGAAGTGTGAACTTTTAACAGACTGCTGTTAATAAAAAAAAAAGTTTAGTTAGTTACATGACTTTCAGAACTTAGCCTAACATTTACTTCAATAAATCATGTGCACACATACATACCCGCACAATCATTTTTTCCTAAAAACTTTGCCATCTCCTTCATTCCCCACCTTTCCCCAAATGTCCTCTCTCTCAGGTTAACCCTTCCTACTGGAAAAGAGAAAAACTGGGCTTATTTCTTTAAAATACCCCAAATGCTCAGATATAGTTGGAACAAAGCCTGGATTATAGGTAGCTGGACAGAGATCCATGTACCCTGACTGATACCTTTGTAAAATCCCTCGAAGTCACACAAGGCCGAAAAAGTAAGCAGTGAAGCACTCTTGGGGAGAGTTGGTTCTAGAATTTGATGTTCCTGGAAATGCTTGTGTCAAGGTTTCTGAAACGGAACAGAAGGGTTTTCAGTCTTTTGTTTCTGATGTAATTGTTTCGCAAGATCCTTTTGCAGTTATGCCCAGATGTTTCTTATTAAAGTCAGAGCAGCATTGTTCACCCATTATTCCAAGACACCATTTGCTAAAACTTGGCTAATAAATTCAGATAGGGGAGGATTTACATCATAAACTCTGTGTTGGGGGTAACATTCCTAGTTGTCAGTGTGTTTCTCCCCCATTTAATTGACTAAAGTTAGTTTCAATTCTTCTTGTTATAGAGCCAGGCTGCATATTTGGAAGCATTTTTAAAGCTATGGTACTGCACTAGGCTTTTCTAAAGTTAACCCCAGATCTGTATCCTAATTTTGTAGACTGATTCAACTATTATCTGTCAAAGCAGAAGGGAAAGCAGAAAGTTACCTACCTACTACACAAATCTTACACAGGCGTGCTGAATGTCTCCTTTGCCACATGGGATCAAGGGATCTTGAATCTCTTTATCAAACTCCCTTGACACTAGAGGGAGTTTAGGCTCCTTTGGTCATCTGATACCTAACATTACTAATATCTGTACTCTGCCTGTACCTCCCTTACATTGGTCACAGTTCTTGTAGGCTGCTGCTCGACTGCTCTTCCAGGCAGAACCCTCATGTGGCTGCATCTACCTCCACCTTGGATTTGTGCCACTGGGGTTTAGCAGCCTTCCAGCTTGAGGTTTCCTTGCATCACAACTGGCTGATTTTTCTGGGAAGAGCTAACAGTGCAGCACAGCTCACAGATTAGTAATGTCCAGTCTGAATGTGTTCTCTCATCAGCCTATCTTCACTGATTTTTAAATCACTGAGCTTACCACAATGCAGAACAAAGTCAGGCCCTTTAAAATCCCCTTACAAGTAAATAAAGGTTTTGGTTGGGGGTAAGCTGACCCTTCTCTGTCTTTAACTGTCATTTACATTAAAGCAAAGATTTTTCTAGTTAAGGCAGGGGGGTGGGGAGTGTGTTTGAAAAACTTAGTAAACCATTGTTACCATCACATGATATCACCTCAAACAAAATGAAAAATTGCATTTTGACTGTGACTCAGAAAGACTCCACACAAAGCAGTAAGAGACTGACTTTTGCAAGGTTTTTGCAACTTAGCCACATTTAAACCAATAAATTAAAATACAGAGTTTGCCAGATCTAAGCATGAAAGCAGCTCATGTGGTAAATGAGTCATCTAAACAACTTGGTTTAATTTTGCCTTCCAATTTTATAATTTCTTTATTAAAAAACCCACAACCACACTAGCCACAGTCCTAGTTAACGCACGTTTCCTAACTTCTTACAGCATCTGAGACAAACACAAATGTTTGTGGCATGCTCTTTTGGGAAGGCATAGCATGTGTTGCAGTTATCTTGATGAGCATCTTTTACCTAGGGATAGGACCTCTCTGGGTCTGCTTCCATGTCCAGGATGCAGAAGGATACAGATGAGAGCTCAACCAGATCAGAAGTTCAGCAAACTCGCACATATGAGCCAGACCTGAAAAGCTCCAAGTCCTGTCCTTAGTAGGACTGGAACTTACCTCAGTAACTTACTGGTTCATGCCCCTGATACTGTGGCCAATTACTGATTTAAGTGGAAAAGGCAAAATGAATCATCTGTGTCACAACAGCCCATCATTAGAACCCTTCCTACTCACTCTTCAGCTAGAAAAGGTCTTGGGTTTTTATTTATTATTACTCTAAGAAGTTAAGCACGCTCATAAACAATGTCTCTTCCCATCGATGTACCAGACTAAGCAAAGACAAACCCCCTCAGATCCTACACAAAGGCACTGAGGCTACAGTGCAGTTTTGGTCATCAAAAATGACAACAGAAAAGTTAGAAATAATCTGCCAAGCCTTCCCACGTACACATTTGGGTTTTAGCTGTAGCTTTAAACTGGGGGAAGGAGAGGGAGACTGGTGTCCCCTTGGATGCATTAAAAAAGGCCAAATCCTGCATACTTTACACTTGGAATTCAAACAGACGTGTTTCATTCTGAGGTGCTGTTCTTAAATCTCAAGGGGAATTAGCACATTGCCATGTGAAGGATTTGTTGCCTCTGTTCAGAGCAAGGCCTGGCCCAGTTTGCTGCCCTCACGCTCACTGTTCCTTCTCACCATCACACGGCACTCACAGACACTGTCCTACCACTGAGGATTCCCACAGATAGAGCAGCCAAGAGAAGACACAAGCAGATTCACAAGATGTCAGATGCTCTGAGCCACCTCCATTTTTATGTAATCCAATCTGGACATACATTTTTTTAAATAGCAGCATAAGAAATTGTATCTGTCTTCCTCTAGATAGTCCAGAAAGTTTACTAAAATCCTAAAACAGATGCCAGAACTCTCGACGCAGTTTAATCTATACTCCTTCATCCACAAGAGAGGTTTCTGGGGTTGAGGCCAGGGTTGAGCCATGGGGCCTTGTTTGTGCACAAACATCCCCTAGAAGAGCAATAAACTATGTTCAGGAACATTAACGAAGCAAAAGAGAGGAGAAGGCTCCGCTGTTCAGATTTGTCAGAGGAGTCATATTTGCCCTCTCTTGCTTATCTGTTGAGTGCCTGAGCCCCGCTGCATGGATTCTCAGAAATGAGAAGCAAAGCCTAGAAGAAAAGCCTACAGGGTATTATCTGATTTAAATCTACTGTATGTCAGCATCTTAAAGAAACTGAAAATGTACACAGGTGGCTGTTAGGAAAAACTGATATGGCTTGTGCCTGGCTCTGTACAAAGTTTCCCATTATAGCTAACATTTTTGATGCAAGGTAAATGAATTGGCAAAGCACTAAGGAACACGAGTGACTTTCCCAGCATCCTCTTTCTAAATGTTGTTTCAAGAAAGGATATTAATTTTATGTTGTGAGGCAAACTATAAAGGATTCACACAATTCAAACCACATTCAAAGAGCTTGGTAGAATTTTCTTCATTCCCAGTTCATTTATTAAAACAATCAGTCATTCCTTTTTATACACTTGTGGGATTGTAACATCCCTTGTCTGTCTTGCCAGAGCTTTTCATTGTTGGTGTAAAACAGAGGTTGTAAGTGTGACCTGCACGACACATGACTGTCTAACCTCTTTGCATGTTACCATTGGCACATTGTGGTTCCTCGTTGATATTGAGCATTGTGTATTGACATTTTTCTCATTTGCTCTCCCTACAGCACTTTTTACAATGGGCGGCAATAGTGACGGGCAGCCATGCAAATTTCCTTTTAAATTTCAAGGCCAGTCCTATGACCAGTGCACAACAGAAGGCAGGACAGATGGATACCGGTGGTGTGGAACCACTGAAGACTATGACAGAGATAAGAAATATGGATTCTGTCCAGAGACTGGTATGAGGAATGTTGTTTGCATAACACAGTGTGATTAAGTAACAAAAGTCTCCTTTTTTACACCCTCACCAGAGCATACAAAAGTTGGCGAGTTACACACAACTTCAGCGTAGGTGGCCGAGGAAGTAACTAGATCAGGAGCCATCCATGTAAATGATACCGTATGCCATAGAACACCAAGTCTATCAGGGATACACAAACGTCATTGAACCATAGGACTAAATGGCTACCACTGCAGGATAATTACGAGTAGATTACAATTTGTTAATGGCCCTGGAAGAGAAGTCTTATGTGATGGAAGAAAGCATGAATAATATTTTAGCTTAATACTTCCCATTTACACTTGAAAAAAGAAATCCTGTTTAGTATGTTAAGCTTGAGTTAATAGATCTTTTCAGCAATTCAAAAGAACTAAGTGAAATGGTTTAGCCAGGAAAATAGATTTCTGCTTTCTTCACAACTTTTTATACTTTTAACTTGAGTTTTATTACAGAAAGGAACAAAAATTAATTTATAGTTTTGTATAGCTTGGCAGGTGTTCAATTTTAGGATGCAGACTAGAGCCATAAGTACCCAGACTGTAAGTTAGCTACGGCAGTTCTAAAATCTCAGGCTTTTAACAGAGCCAAGGTGAAGCTACATTCACCCTGCAGCACCCTGAAGCTGCATTCAAACCTACATATACCCTGGTTTTTTGAGTCTTTTGAAAATGCCTGAACCATTTCCAACAGGGATTTGATCTATTGGTATTTGGCTTCCTGTTACTTTTGATAACCAGGTGTGACCCTTCAATTTTACCTTACAGATGTTTAAAAAAAAATTAAAGGATCAAATTCATTATAACTTGCTACACAAAAATTAAAGGGATAGTTCAATGAAAGAACCAATATATCTAGAATCAATATATCCAAAGTCCTAGGTAACACAGTCTCTATCACTGGAACCAAGAAAAACACTTGGTTTAAGCTCTTTTTCAGCATATTATTGCTTGAGGTAGTTGTGATTTTTTAAAAAAATTTCTGGTTTATTAATTAATAATAATGAATGAGAAATAAATAATAATAAACAATCAGGGACACAATCAGTGTTGTCTCTGTATTGCTCTCCTGTACCTTCCCAGAGGATAGACCATAATTTAAAAGGAAATGTAATTGTCAGGTAGCAGTGTAAATTAATTTAAATTAATTTTATATTATTTTCATATTCTGTTTATGATACCTACTTTGAAGTGTAATTTTAAACTTAGTTTAAAAACCCCCTGTTCCCTCTAGAAAATACTTGTACATGCATATACAAATGTTATTTCTTATATATTGCTGCCACATACTACATAGATGAGAACATACAGGAAAAATTTACAAGTTTTTGCAAAAATGCTAGTTAAAAAAAAGGCTCATCCACATTCGATATCCTTTTCTTTGGAAAATGTTTAAAACCACATGCTTTTAAACTGTACCCTGCTGTCAGCATAAAACAATTGCTCAATTTATTTGACATGACTCCTCTTCTGGTCCTTTTGGTTTTATTTTTTTTTATTTCAAAGCTTATACTTCAGTGGGACGCCTACTAACCAGGTGGATACGCAATAGCCCTTTAACCTTTCTGACACCAAACCTACCCTCCACCTATTTGAGAGACGCTTTGCCATGTCACCAGGAAAGACCATCAAAATGACAACACAAAGATACTTGCTATGCAATCACCTTCCACAAAACACTGTTAACTGCTGCTTTCTCAGAGCTGTGCACCAGAGGCCAGGGCTCATTCTTATTCCCACCAAAACTATTGGCAAGTTCATTGCAATGGCAATGCCTAGAATTTTCCTTTATTTCTGTGTCAGACAATTTTCTTTTCAAACACTACTTTTAATCTTACTCCTCATGTTCTTAAGAGGATTGGAGATTTCCTGCCTTTCTGTTTTTAATGTGTAGTTCAGAAGATGCATCAGCTTAATCTCACAATCTCTCTCCCTTCTCACTGTGTTTTTCTGCCATTTTTCACAGCCATGTCCACAGTTGGTGGAAATTCAGAGGGAGCCCCTTGCGTATTCCCCTTCATCTTCCTGGGGAATAAATACGAGTCCTGTACGAGTGAAGGTCGCAATGATGGCAAGCTGTGGTGCGCTTCTACCAGCAGCTATGACGATGACCGCAAGTGGGGCTTTTGTCCAGACCAAGGTAATGAGTTCCTCAGAGCAATACAATGGTAACAGCATATTGACCACATCAATGACATCACACTTATGATGATTTCAGTCTCATACTTACCACTCCTGCCTGGTTACTCTACTTCTCCCCAGCCCAAAATCCAAGCAAAACCCCTACATTTAAATGTGAGACTATTGCTAAAGAGTCAGTCCTAGAGCTCACCTACCTGAAACCTTCAGATTTTCTAAAATTATAACGATGAAGTATCTTTCCAAAATATAAAACCCAAAACCATTTAATAAATAAATAAATGTTTTTCTCATCACCAGTTTTTCCTTCCAAGGCTAAAAACCACAAGCACTATAGTATTTTACTAGTATGTAATAATTATACCCTGATATTGGCCAAATTAGGAGCAAATGCTAAATGTAAAAAATTAATTCATTTGTGACTGATATTGCTGAGGACAAAAAACATATTTAAAAAATAAGAAAGACAGTATAAGGTTTGTATGGTGAATATCAGTATTTAAAATTATTTTGGTTAATCTTTGTCCTTATTTGCAACATAGGTAAAATTAAGTACAGCAAAAGGTTTTTTATACATTGACAAACAAGTGCTAGATTCAGGTTGTTTTAGGAGGAAAATAACTTCCAAATTTCAGAGACTGTTTGGGCATAATTGATAAAATGTCATCCTATGATAAAAGATTTCTTTCAACCTAACAATATTTGGTACAACAATACTGGCTCAGGCTCTGTTCACAGACACACAGATAGACAAACCTGTTTATCATTTGCATGTCATTTCACGGTGAAAAGTAAGATTTGAAGTCTAGATTGCAAGTTAAATTCTTCTGTGCTTAAAAAAGTAGTCTGATTTTATTTGCTACACTTCCATTTTCACAGAGGTATTAAGACCATGGTCAAAGTCACTTGCACATGAGACAGCAGCAAACATCAGCTACAGAAGTTGTTTTTTGAATCTCTCTAATGAAATGTCATTTCTGGCAATATATATGACATTCACCATTGGAGGCTGTAAATACAAATTATGATATTTACTGTTGGGAGATTTTTGATGGGTAGCAATGAAAGTATAATTTTAAGGCTATAAATAACTTGTGTGGTACACCTCCATTTAGATGCAAGCAGCTAATACTACCTTGCTATGTCATTCAGGATACAGTCTCTTCTTGGTTGCTGCTCATGAATTTGGCCATGCTATGGGATTAGAGCACTCTGAGGATCCAGGAGCTCTGATGGCCCCTATCTACACCTACACAAAGAACTTTCGACTTTCCCAGGATGACATTAAAGGGATCCAGGAGCTATATGGTAAAGTCCTCCCTCATCAGCAGAACTCCTCAGAAAAGCATGCAGCACAGGTTGTAATTTGGGACTCAGAACTTGCAGTAAATTACATACTGCACAATACCACCAATGCCAGAAACATCCTCTGTTCCTTTCTCGCTGCTTTCTTCATGTTATTACCAGGGCTTCTTCTTAAATCAAATATCACAATTTAAGGACAAGGGGCCCCAAAACTCCCCATAACCAACCTCTAGATGAAAATTTCTAATGCTGTTACTGGGACAGTGAAATGCCGTGCTTTTCTCTAGCTTGAAATACCTGATGTGGGTGTGTTTGGGTGTTATTGTCTACACCACTCTGAGCTTCTCAGATTCCAACTCCCTGTAAGAGGGAAGGATGTTGTTTCCTGTCCCAGCTTGGAAACAGTTCACACTGCCTTCCCACGACAATTCAATTCGTAGTTCGACATTTGCAGATAGCATGTAGGATCTGATACTCAGACATAAATATACTTGGCAAGATCCTGGAGAAAAAGTGGATTTAAGTATTTTTATGTTGGTACATTTTTAAAATTTATTATTTTCTCCAGAGGTACTCTTAGTAAAACATGTAAGTATTATTATGATTAAAGTTCCTTCCATGTATGTATTTTCCACCTTGTAGAGGCACAAGTATACTACAGTCAATTAACCAGTCAAAGAAAATATATACCATTTCTCTTTCCATGCTTTTCACTTTTCTACTGAGATATCTCCCTAATTGTAAGTGACTATATTCAACACCTTAGAAATTATAATAAGAATACACCAAAATGATTGCCACATGAGACACCTTTTTATCAAAAATCTGATTTGAATCTTATTTTTTTTCCCTTGTTCTTAGCTGCTTTAATTAAGACTGGGAATTGAGACATGGGCAAGGTTAAGTGAGTTTTCTAAGCTTACACAGCATATCTTTGATAGAATTCAGAATTTAACCCAGGTGTCTCAAGGCACACTTCAAAACCTGAGACAAAACTATCTTTCTTGCCTCTTTCTAACTGATAAAACCCTTTACAAACAGCTTTTTATATAAAACAAATATTCAAAAAACCTCTTTGTTTTCTTTCATTATTATCTTAAATCAACTACGCTCCACTTTGTTTCATACAGTAAATCAACCTGATGTCCAAGAAAAAAGACAAATGCTTCATAAGGCAATACAGCAGCAGCCAAATAATAAAACAAAATAAACCAGATGGCAAAGTGCATGTCTGAAGAGCATATTTTGATTATTGATGAGGGCAGAGAGATCATATAAATGGCTCAAAATGCATCTTTGTAACTTGCAAAATTATCAACACTTCTAGAAAGAAGAGAAATCCACTTTGACATCTCTATCTGCGGAGCTGCAGATAATTCTGAATAGAAGGACTTGGAAATGCATTTATGTTCTTTTTAGAAGCCAGTAAAATAAAAATTGTGATGTTAACATTCGAACCCAGTATAGTCACTTCTGAATATCTTTCAAATTCAACAGGCAGCTCAGCACAGACAGATACACAGGCACAGTGTCTTGAATGAGGCCATACAGCAGATTAAGGCTGGATTGGACGCCAAGGCCTTCTCAGCTGTACTGGGCCACCCTTCTTCTGAAGAGATTTTATTATAAGCTTTTTCTCCTTCAAGAACTGTCTCCAAATTATTCCCCTTCTAGAAATTACGGTAGTTATGTTCTCTGTGTAACCTATGCAGCACTGTATGTCAGTGTAACAGAATATCTGTTCACCATTACAGAAGTATCGCCTGATGTCGAACCTGGACCAGGGCCAGGCCCACGCCCAACCCTTGGACCTGTCACTCCAGAACTCTGCAAGCAGGACATTGTATTTGATGGAGTTGCACAAATTAGAGGAGAAACATTTTTCTTCAAAGACAGGTGAGATAAATTGCTTACTAATGGGGCCTCAAGAGGAGGAGTCTGTCAGACCTATTAATTGAAATCTAGAAATTTATTACCAGGCACAATCTCTGCCCTTTCTTGTGTGTGTTCAGAGACAGCAAAGTGTCCTAATCAACT